TCGCAAAAGAGTGACAAACATACAAAAGAAGTAGAGGAAAAATGACGATGGTAAGGATGAGGAAAGAAAAAGCAGCAGTTCCCCCATGTTGTTTCGGCGCGGTATGAGCATGACATTGATAAATCAGCCCCTTTACAATTCTACTGTGCATAAGTAAGAACATGCTAATGTGTTAATTTCCCCTATTTGGGAATGGCCTAAAGACATTTCAGTCATTAGCACTGCCTGATCTTCCATTCTCCCACACACAACTCTGCAATGTGTCGAGTACTTGTCACTGATTTGCTCCCACCTCCCCACCCCCACTTCCACACCCACCTTTGTCTTGCAGATTTTAGGCAGCATGCATTTGACTAATGGTCTCTTATCTGGCAGAATTTTTTCAATTTAAATTTACATGGTCATGACGTAATGCTCAGATGAGGAGGGAGGGGGGGGTATTTGGATGTGAACTATTTTTCCCCTGCTCGCGGCGGTCACACAAGTTAGATGTGGTTGAGAAGACAATGGCCACAGTTTGTCTCTACAAGTCTGCCACTTGTCAAGATGGGAGAAAAGCATTTTAGTTCGACCACACAGGAAAAACAAGAAATTTTCAATTTATAAGCATAGCCTTCATCAAAGTCACAGCGGCAAATCAGACTCCATTTCCCCACAGTTTGGTGCAAAGCTGTAAAGGCGTGTCATCGTAAGTAGTTACCGGCCAATTCTAATTTTTATCATTTTTTTCCTCCACTACAGGTTGATGAAATGTACAGGGACGCCCCCATCAAGAGGGGAAACTTTGACTACTTGGAGTTCACCAGGATCCTCAAGTACGGCAAGAAGGAAGACGAGGCGCAGTGATTGGCTCTGGCTCTTCTCTTTTTCATTCCTCCGTCTTGTACTCCTCTGATTTTTACAAATTCTTTTCCTCTCTTTTGTTTCTGCTTTTTCTTTATTGTCATTTAACAACAGATGTCTTTTCCAAATATAGTTCTTCTAATAGCTATCCGCTTGCCCAGATTCACACGTCTGCTGGCTTATACTAATCTTTATATATATATTATATTCTTTTTCTTGTTTTTACTGAATTTTATTTCTGTATTGATTGTGAAATTGGACGTCATGCTTGTTGCTGCCCAGAATGCACACAAAAAAAGTTCTTTTATCACCTGTCGGCAGGATTTCACATATATCTTCGTTCTCTCGTTTGGCAATGTGTTATGAAATCATCCGAAAGTTGTGCCCTGGAAGTGCTGAAAACTGCGGAGGTCTGTTGTTCTAGATTCTGTACGCAATTAAGTATGCACTGCCACATTGTGCACCGTAAATCGTTAGATTTTATTGTCCAAGAAGCTTGTTGATTGTAGATGGACAGTCATTTATTTTCTAAACCCGTCTCGTTGCCAGAGGGTGTACATTCCTCCTGTCAGCACTTATTGTCAGCTGAGCTCATTCGCCAGGACAGCAAAGTCTTATATCTCAGTGTTAGTAGACTCGCTGTCCAGATCTAGCCCACTCATGATGACATATTCAGACCTCTGGTCTTTGTTAATTTCACTCTCCTCATTCCCTATGTAATTCCTCAGCTTGCCCATAATTTTGAAAAACTTTCAAATATCTAAGTCAAAATGTGAAATTTGCTATCTATCTGTTTGAAGTCGTTTTGGTGTTTCTGTAATTGCGAGGTCACACGTCTATCTGCTGTCTGCAAAACTGGACTTGTGTGTTCATCAATCACTTGCAAGCTTTGCAATAAATTGATCCCAGTAAGTTTTGTAAGTTGATATATAATATATGCGCATTTTCATGAGGTACCAGGTACACACCACCAGCAACGGAGGGTTGAAAGGAAGAGATTTCTTTTAAAATGAACGTGTTCAAAAGATGAGTTTGGCAAGAATATCACTTTTGGTATTGGTTTTTTTGTTGTTGTTTTTTTCCTTCACAACAGAATGGTAGATCTAGATCTACATATTTTTATGTAATATGGTAGAAATCATGGTGTTATCAAAAATGTGAAAAAATCAAAGTTGTTGATATAATGCCTGTCAAATTGTTGTCTGTTGGATCATGTTGTTACCCGAACAAAAGTTGAAAAAAATCATTTTTTTATCTCGACATTCTCACGTTGCTGCAACTTGTATGGACCAGAATCACTTCACATTCCAATGTCGAAGGAGAAGGGGGAACAAACGCGACTGATTTCCTTTTTACCGAATCAGCTCAACCCAACATTCTTTTTTGTTTTGTTTGCTGCTGCATGTCTGTTTTTTGTTGTTGTTCACTTGACTTCTTTCAAGTGCTTCAAACTGCGTTCTCTGTTCTGTATTATACAAACTGCGTTCTCTGTTCTGTATTATACAAACTGCGTTCTCTGTTCTGTATTATACAAACTGCGTTCTCTGTTCTGTATTATACAAACTGCGTTCTCTGTTCTGTATTATACAAACTGCGTTCTCTGTTCTGTATTATACAAACTGCGTTCTCTGTTCTGTATTATACAAACTGCGTTCTCTGTTCTGTATTATACGTTGTGGTTGTTGCTGTTCTTTGACTGGTGTTTTTACAAGACTTGACGACGCTGTATTTCAACTAAAAATGCTTTTTGGAAATTTGTGATACTTTTTTTTTTCTTTTTTTTTTTGGTGTTTGTTGAATTTTTCTCCCAGATCTTCCAAGTGATGACAGTGAAAAAGATGTACACCTATAGTACACCTATAGTACACCTTGCTTCCTCTCTTGTTCTCCGTTGAGTTTCTTTTGGTAAGAGATCTGATGTCATAAAAAAACAAAAGTGTTCCCTGTTTTGTCACCAATTAGTGAGAGTGTTGGGGGAAAGTTCGAAATAATATTGCCACAAAATGTTCTACTGTTTATTATGCAACACTCCATATCGACCATATACATCAAAATGAGTAATAATAATAAAAAAAATAATAAAGTATATTATGAACTATTTGGCTGGAGTTGTTCTCTTTGACTATTCCAATAATGTCTTTGTATTAATTTGTGGGTTTTTTGTTGTTCATATCAGGTCATGTCAGATCATTCTGTAAGTGCGTGGTTGGTTGGTACTCTGGTGTGTTATGCTTCTTCTTTCCTATCAAACATCTATCGTCCTTATCTCCCCTTCTTTTTTATGTTTGTTACTCTCTTGTAACGCCTCTAATCTTCTGGCGCTCAAATGACCTTATGCAATTGCGAGCACCGTAAAACCTCTACTAAAACTAAACTCTGTTCTTTCTTTCTGTCTGTCGTTTCTCTCTGTCTTTTTGTCCCTTTCGTTAAATGATTGTTTAAATTTAAATGTGATTCTTCTTACTCCAACATTTTTCTCCTGCTCTACTTTGAATGATTGATGATACTGTGTGGGAGTGCTTCTCTGTCCTCAAGACTCAATCTCAAAACTTCTTCTGCTAGCTCTATAAATCTGTGGGTGGCTTGTGGGTGGACTGGTGTGGTTTGCTCCCTCTCTCCTATCAAACATCTATCGTCCTTATCTCTCCTCCATTTTTGTGTTTGTTACTCTGATCTTCAGCACTCATATGACCTTATTGTGTTGCAAGTGCCATAAAACTCTTACAAAAACTAAAACCAGCTCTGTGTAAATCTAGACTAATTTTGGCCTGTGAAAACCTTCGTCAGTGGTGTTGTAGCGGATATAGTCAGACACCTCACTGTCGTACACATGACAGACCTCAGATTTCCCTGTGGGGAGAAATGTTTGATCAAGTATGTCGTCTGTCTGCTAGGATGTTGTATCCCTCTCAGCTCAGCCTGGGATTGCCATGACAGTCAGAGTTGGAACCCCCCCCCCCCCCCCCACCCCTCCTGAATGACCGAAATTGTGTCGATGGGAGCGTAAAAAGACTTACTATATATATATATATATATATATATATATATATATGAGAGGCAGCGTGGTGGAATCAGGCTCTTGTCAATTTTTGGGCATATATAGTTATTGGTATCACATTAAAGCTTGTTCCCTTGTCTTTATTAGGATGAAAGAAAAAATCCATTTATCTTGAATACAAGTCGAGACATTTGCGAAAGAAGGAGGTGGAGGTTACCTTCTTCAGAGGTAAAATTAGCGAGAAAATGGCCGCCAAAGATAATTATTTCCTTACCTTAAGAGTCCGTGGTAACTGAAAATTTACATTTTTGTTCCTTTAATCAACGGTTTTCAGAAAAATCCATTCAGAAATGATTAATGGGCATGAAAGGTGTTGAGCCAAAAAACACAAATTTTGTTATAAATTCAAAAACCTGCGGAAAAAAGCAAGTTTCTTCACTTTCATTATTTTGACGAGAGCCTGATTCCACCACGCTGCCTCACATATATATATATTTTAAAAAAAATTTTTTTCGTTTATATAGCGCACATTTCCGCTCAACAGCAAGCCCTATGCTCTTTACAATCTACACATATTAAATATTACCGCAGCAGACCTAATAGCATTCTGAAAGAGTCTAAACTGTCTGGGAAGAATACAGTGCAGTTCCTCGAAATATGATTGGGACAACGTAATGTAGAAGAAGATGTGGGTGGTTGGCGGATGCTCTGGTCCCTGGTGTGGTTTGCTCCTTCTTTCCTATCAAACATCTGTCGTCTTTACAGCTGTATCTCCCCTCTTTCTTTTTTGTGTTTGTTACTCTCTTATAACACGTAATCTATTCTTTGGTATTTATATGACCTTATTCTGTTGCAAGTGCCGTAAAATTCTTACTAAAACTATCTCCCCTCCTTGTTTTGTGTGTTTGTTACTCTCTTGTAAAACCTTTAATCTTTGGCACTTTGACTTATATAACCTTATTGCCTTGCAAGTGCCGTAAAACTCTCACTAAAACGGAGATGGACGTTAAACTGGAAGGTCTCGCCTCTAAAAAATAACTTAATAGTATTGAAAGGGGTGTTAAACTGATACCCTTTCAACATTTCTCTCCCCCTTCTGTGATGCTTTGTGTGTGTTACTGTCGTGTCTTGTAACTCCACTAATCTGTGGCACTTGTACGACCTTATCGTGCTGCAAGTGGCGCAAAACACTTACAAAAACAAACCAAAACAAGGAGCTAAAATTCCCCCGTCCGTTCGTGGGACTCCATATAATTTTATCTGCATATCACAAGCCCGCGCCAATCTTCTATTTCTTCCATTTAATAACCTTCACTTTTCCCTTGAGAAGTGGCTATGGTGGATGGTTGGCGGGTGCTCTGGTGTGGTTTGCTTCTTCTTTCCTATCAAACATCTGTTGTCTTTATCTCCCATCCTTCTTTTTTATGTTTGTTACTCTCTTGCAACACCTCTAATCTTCGGCACTTATAATATGACCTTATTGTGTTGTGTTGCAAGTGCCGTAAAACTCAACTAAAAAAAAAAGAATTAGATATATATAGGTCAGAGAGATCTAGGTAGCTCTGGTGGTCGAGAGGTAAAGTGTTCGCCTCTCATTCAATAGGCCCCGGGCTCGAAACCTGACAGCGACGAAAAAAAATGTTCCGTAATATAATTTACTCATTTCACCTCCTTTCTTGCGCTCTGTGTTCAGTCGTCTGCGTTCTTCTCCACTTTCTGCCCCCCCCCCTCCCCCTTGACTCCTTCTTACTGCAGCTGTCTTTCAGACACACCCCTGACCTTAGGGTAGGTAAGATCGCACATTCTCGGAAGTCCCAGGTGCAAGTTGCAACTGCTGTAAAATTCTTACCAAAAAACCCCAGAAACTAAGACTATCATGCTGTTGTTATTCACGGAAATCCAACTGGCGTCTGTGGTGAAGCTGCTAGAAATTGTTGGGTGCTTCACTGTCATACGCAGAGATCATACGTGTGAGACAGCGTGGTGAAATCAGGCGCTCGTCAAAACAATGAAATCAAAGAAACGGGCATTATTCTGGGCTTTGGCCAATTTTTTCGAATTTTCTTTCTTTCTTTTTATATTTTTTTGCTCAACACCTTTTATGTCCTTTTAAAAACTCATGTATGTGTGGACGGTACCGAAAAACGTTCATTAAAGGCAAAAAAAAAGTAAATTTCCAGTTTCCAATTAGTGCCCTCCATCTTTGGGAGTCACCCAACTTTGGCCGCCATTTACTAATGTATATTTTGCCCGTCATTCCAGGTGACCCCCACCTCCTTCAATCACAAACATCTCGACTTCTACTAAAATAGATGGGTATATTTTTTTGGGCCAAATATAAGTGAAATGAATAAGCTTTAAGATGATAATATGAATATATTTGTAACTCTTTTATTCCGAAAAATTGACGAGTGGCTGATTCCACCACGTTATGACACATATGTGTCAATGGGGACGTAAAACTTAATGCTTCTACAATTAACATATGGAAATTCTGCCCCAGTGAATGCCTTAATAATATCAATGTGATTAATGAGCCAAAGAAGATAACAGAACAGTTGAGGCTCTTAAAGGTGCAACAACATTGTGATTCTTTACATTACAGAGGGGAAATCAAAGCCGTGGTCTCTCTCTCTCTCTCTCTCTCTCTCTCTCTC